GAGTTTTATGGATACCATGGGCTGCCAAGAAGGCAAATCAATACACCTGAGAGCAAATGAAGTCTGAACTCTCACTAGAAGCCAAGATCACTTACCTGAGCCTACCGTTTGTTGTTGTTGTGTGCCTTCATTTCTGACTTATGGTGATCCTAAGGTGAACCTATCATGGCGTTTTCTTGGCAAGATTTGTTCAGAGGTTTGCCATCGCCTTGCCCTGAGGCTAAGAGAGTGTGACTTGTTCAAGGTCATCCAGTGGGTTTCATGGCTGAGAGGAATCAAACCCTGGTCTCCAGAGTCATAGTCCAGTACTCAAACCACTATGCCATGCTGGCTATCATACTTTCAACTTATCATGAAATGACATGTATGCAAAGGGGTCTTGTAGCACATAACAGGAGCACTGTGAATCCAGACAGTATTGTAAATCTATTAAGCCACACTCTGAATCAGGCAGACGAATCTGTTCTGTCACAGAGGTTATCCTTCTGCCCCTCCAAACCCACACATTTTTTGTGGTGATCTAGAGACTTTCTTCCATTGCCTATGCCTCAAGACTGCAAGACTTGATTAGAGCTGATAATAATACAGGCTGAGATCTTTGTACATCACAGTCTGTGTTTCGTAACAGTATGAGTCCCAGTCTTGGGAGAAGGGCACAATATAAATAAATATAATAATGAATAATAATGAATCTGTAGCTACGTTGCAGAAACACAACAAAACCCTGTTGGTGGGTTGCAAAGATGTGCATCTGGGCACTGCCAAGAGTGCTCCAATGTGCATTGGGTGTTCCTGTTGTGCTCTGGCTCTTCCTAGATGTGCACTGGGTACTGTCTTGATGTGCATTTATGCCCATTGTGCATCAGGCCATAACACATCACTTACTCCACTGGCTACCACTGCACAATGGATACAAAGCTTACATAAGCCCTATGATTCCCAATGGGAGTTTTAAATATACTGTTAATGGACATATGGAACTTTAATAGGAATGGGATGAAAACTACTGGAAAACTATTCTGATGAAATATCTATCAGTTCAGTTGTTGTAGCTCCTCAAAAGAATCCCGCGATCTAAAGTGTGGTTACAGTTTGAGAATTTTGCTAACTCCAAAGCCATGCCCCCATTGTGAACAACTGTTCTGTAAGTATCACACACAGAAGCAACAACTATGAAAACAGCTTAAATCTGTGGTGTGTTTGTATATCAACAAACACAATATAGATGGTATGTGCATGTTAGAGGACAAAATATTTTAATGGATTTTGCACAAACCATCCAAATGCCACATCTGAAAATAATAAATACCTTTTTTTCGTATACATCTTGCCATACAATGCCAGCAAAAAATTTGTGTTGCATGATCTCCTTGGCATCATCAGGTCCACCACCTAACCTGTTAGGAGAAATATCACCAGCAGTTAGCAATAGCAAGTACATTTCCATGCCGCTTATCAGTGCACTTAAGCACTCCCTAAGCAGTTTAGTAGCTGTAAGCTAACTGCCCCCAACAAGCAAAGCAAAGCAGCTTCATTTATATACCGCTTCATATTGCGCTATGGGATGTCTAAGCGGTTTACAACTGTAAGCTCATTGCCCCCCAACAGTTGGGTACTCATTTTAGCGACCTCGGAAGGATGCAGGCCTGAGTCTAGCCTGAGCCCTGGCTAGTATCAAACTCGCAACCTTGTGGTCTATGAGTGAGTGGCTGCAGTACAGGCATTTAACCACTGCGCCACCAGTATAGGACAGTTATTTTATGTTCTTATAGTTTGCACTGATTACATTCTGCCCAGTTAAAAATCATATTCCACTAAGTTGTAGTGTAAAAATTCAGTATCCAAGTCACAGGGCACCAGCACCATCGGGCCTAAAATAAGAAGAAGAGCCCTCCCTCCATTACCATCCGATGTCATCTGGGAGAGAGACACTAGGCCCAGCACCATCGGGCCTAGAATAAGTAAGTAAGAACCCTTACTTCTTAAAGGATGGGTGGGATTCGGGATTTTATATTCTGTTTAATATATCTGTATGGAAATTGTAATGTTGTAAGCCGCGCCGATTACTCTGCAGAGGGGCGGGATATAAATTATTATTATTATTATTATTATTATTATTATTATTATTATTATTATTATTATTATTATTATTATTATTATTATTATAGGGACTGGGCTAATGCCTTCTTCATGTTAAACACCCAGTGTATTGTTTGCTCTCCTGAAGCACTGAAGAGCGTAACAGGGTAGCAATATTATGGTCTTGCCATCTAAAAATTATAATCAAGAAAGAAATAGTTTTGGAATGGAAGTAAAACTATGGATCTAACCTGCAGTGCAGTCTTCAGATCTGAATGTATGAGAAGAATCATATCCATTTGCTCTAATGACAAGGTGTTATTGGCTTACAAGTCCCATCAGCCCACCCTGCATAGTGAGGAGGGTAAGAACTGGCCTAAAATACTGGGACAATCAAACAAGTGCCAATCTAACTCTACAAGGCTCTATTCCCCCCATCCTCAATTCTATTAAAAAACCATTCAAAAAGAGCTGCCAAAGTGATGGAATGCATAGTTAGCAAACCACTGGCTACATGGGCATTCAGATGCTACACAAGACATTTCACTGTCCATTTTAATGGGAGAGTGGTACATCATTCATGCCCTGCTAATGGGTTTCCTATTGGAGAATATGGCTGACTACTGTAGTAACAGAGTGCTGGACTAAATAGGACTTTGATGTGATTCAGCCTGGTTTCTTGTATGTCCTCAGAACTCACTAAACAGATTCAGAAGGGGAATTCTGGTTTAAACAAACTAGGATGACAGGGTTCATACTAGCATGTGACAGGACGACAGGTGGAACCAGAGACTGGTTCTCAACTTGCACAACTATGGCTGAAAAAAATTGTGAATGCTACCAGTAGTGTGCGGGGCCTCCAGGGCGGGGCTTCTAGGGGATGGCGTACATTCTTTCTCCCTGTGCCACCCCATCCTTTTCCTGAAATGGATGGGATGACATGAGGAGGAGCACATGCAGCAATGGGAGGTTGGAGCGCAGGGGATGGGTGCAGGGGCAAAAGGATGGTGTGCGGGGATGGCAGTCCAACCGGATGTCACCCCTCTCCTGGAGTGTCACCCAATGTGGACAGCATCCCTGCACCCCCAGTAATAGCAACAGCAGCTTCATTAATATATCGCTTCATACCGCACTAAGTAGTCTATAAGCGGTTTACAACTGTAAGCTAATTATCCCCAACAAGCTGGGTACTCATTTTAGCAACCTCAGAAGGATGCAAGGCTGAATTGGCCCTAAGTTCCTGGCTGGGATTGAACTCACAAACTTGTGGTTTGTGAGTGTGTAGCTGCAGTGCTGGCATTTAACCACTGCGCCACCAGGGCCCCTAGTGACACCACTGAATGCTATGCCTTGACCAATGTGTAGGACATAACCAGAGCCATGCAGAAATCTTTACAGCTAAAAGGGCAGACCTTTGAAAAGCTACTTTTTAAAATTACCATACTCAGAATCTCCTAGCCAGCATGGGCACAGGCTATATTGGCTGAAGGAATTTGAGAGTTGTAATATTAAAAAGTAACTTTATCAATCTCCATGAATAGTGGTCCAAGTTTCTCAATATTCAATTCTCTAACCATGGCAAACTGGGTCTCAAAATCCCAACAGTCTGCTTCAACCCTGTTGGCTATACTGGTGGTACTTTCTGTACACAAAGTTCATTATCAGCACTTTCTAGAGTTTGAGGCAGTTTGGGTTTTTTTTGCACAACTTCCCATAACCTCCCAGTTCTGGGAGTTGCAGTTTAGCATAGTAATATTTCCAAGCTTTTGTGTGGTGTCAAAAAGACGACCCTCTCAGATGGAGAGATTCACAGTATGAGAAAACCATTTTGTGTTTTTATGTGTGGGTGTGGACAACAGAGTGTCACTGGAACAAACTTTGGTTCTAAATAGAAAGAAAGTGCATTGCTCCAGGAAAACACATAGAAAGTCTGGGAAGCTCTTGTGTCAAAAAGCTGAAATGCTATAGCCTACCTCTGCTTAGGATCCTTCTTCAGCAAACCTGACAGAAGAGATTTCGCTTCAGGTGACAATGTGCGTGGAAACCTAATCTCTTCCATGAGAATGAGTTCAAAAAGCTTCTCGTGGTCTGAATTGTAGAAAGGGAGCCGTCCACACATCATTTCATACATAACAACTCCTAAGCCCCACCAGTCCACTGCACGACCGTAATCATTATCTTCCAGCACCTATAAAAGGCAGAATGTCAGAGCTTCAGGTCATAGGCCTCCCACTGATTTTTAAATGAGTCTGAGTCCCATCCATGTTACAGACATATATAATCATTGGATTCAATTGATTAATTCTATACTCTATTTAGACCCTGCCTTTTCTCCCAAGAGTGGGATTCAAGGCACCTTAAGGAACAAAAAGAAATGTAAGTAAAACCATGTATGTCTAAAATGTACTAAAAATTAAGACTAAAATAATATTTAACTGTCTATAGAATTACATTATATAAAATATTCATTTGCAAGCTAGATTAATAGCAGTACATGACTAAAACAGAAAACCTATTATATAAAATAATCACTTTCCAAATGCCCACTGAAATGAAGAGGTCACCTGGCTATGAAAAGACAGCAAAGGGGGGGGGGGAGAGCCAATTTAGTCTCCCTGGGCTGAGAGGAACATCCAAGATTATGAAGTATGGCTTAAAAAATGGGTCCCTTTTAGCTAGTGGCAGGGACTGAATTCACAACATGTTCCCAATTCTCCCTTTTTGGGAGAAAGGCAGGATAGAAATTAAATAAATAAATAAACTCTCCTAACCATATCTGTTCTTGTGTACCTTCAAGTAGTTTCCGACATACGGTGACTCTATTATGGGGTTGTCTTGGCAAGATTTGTTCTGTGGTTTGCCATTGCCTTCCCATGAGGCTGAGAGTATGTGACTTGCCTAAGGTCACCCATTGAGTTTCATGCCCAAGCTGGGAATCAAACCCTGGTCTCCAGAATCTTAGTCCAACACTCAAACCCCTACGCCACGCTGGCTCTCTTCTTGTGCTACTACTGCTCTCTAAACCTGATCAAAACAAACTACAGTTTGGCTGCTCCAAATTGAAAATTTCTTAACCCAACTGGCCAACGATCTGAAAGCACTTCCAACACCACACTAATGTCAGCTCCTCTTAAAACTGTCCTCTACCTGAGATTTCCTCTACTGTCTCCCCTGTTCTTTTCCCACAGCCTTGTAGGTGTGTTGGGCTACAGCTCAGCACAAAGGCCAAATGGCTGAGGATTATGGGGCAACAGTCCTGTAAATACAGAGGGCATTTGGTTAGAGAGCTGCAGTAAAACCACAGCGACAATCCTGCTAAACAGCTTATTGATATGTCATGGGCTGTGTCACACTGTTCTCTCCACTTCTGGGTGTACATCTTCATTCTTACATACAAATTCTGCATCTTTTTTTCTCCTCTACCTACCAGATAATTTTTTTTGTGGTCTCAGGATTTTCCACAAATGCAAGACAGGTTTTTGTTCAAACTGCAGAAATTGTAGTTGAAATATGATAAATATGATAATATGAAGCTTCAGAAAAGGCATTTGTGTCTTTCTGATCTTTGCTGAGCATATGCTTTGCTTCACAAAGGGAAAAGACACTAGTGTTGTGCAGATATTTTTGTGCAAAATCCCAAACAACACCAACACTCAACCTATTTTTGCACTTTGTTGTTGTTGTGTGCCTTCAAGTCATTTCCGACTTCTGGGGACCCTATCGTGGGGTTTTCTTGGCAAGATTTGTTCAGAGGAGGTTTCCCATAACCTTCCCCTGAGGCTGAGAGCATGGGACTTGCTTAAGGTCACCCAAGAGGTTTCATGACCAACCTGGTAACAGAACCCTGGTCTCCAGAGTCATAGTCCAACACTCAAAACCACGACACCACACTGGCTCTCTCATAGCAGCCCTTCCCAATCTTAATCTTCTCCAGTCTCCATTGACTCCAGTCTCCCTGACTTGCCTAGTTGAGAAATCTCATGGTGGTTAATGAACTCTTTACAGGGTGCTTCGATGGGTCAAGGCAGCACATCTTATCAAGACAGTTATTTAGAGAGATTTCTTCACAGTCCCCCTATATGGTTCTGCTGCATGTCCCTTTCAGCTTAGAAATGCAAGCACTACAAACCCAAGGGCAGACTGGCGTACCCTCCAGAGGGAGCATGATCACATCACAAGTGCAGGGAACTGATCACACTAAAAGCCAAAGCATTAAACTGTTATGATTTTGCTCTCCTCTGTTATCAATCCATTTCACTGTGTTCGCTAACTGCTCAGCACTCTGCTTTGAAAAGGGAGAGGGGAAAGAAAAAGAAAAAGAAAATCTGTTGGAACCTGGAAGACAGCCTGCAGTGAAAAGGCAGAGGCTGCCAGGTATTGGATTACCCCACGCAGGTCTATTTACAGCATCTTCTGCCGTATGATTCGCACACCGAGCGACAGCTGGCTCTACAGCTGCCCCATATATGTAGAAGACCAACACAGCTGCTGGGTCTGCCAGGATTCCAGGAGCCAGCCTCATCATCCTTTATGAGCAATCAGGGAAGAAGGCAGGGGAGGACTGGCGCTTCATATACCCAAGATTTGCCTGCTGCTATCAACCAGTCGTGCCCTTTCCCGGAGAGCACTTGTTGTCCAGGTCCTTTTTGGTTGGCTCCATAATAGTTGGCCTCCCTGCTGCCCGCATCGTAACAGATGTAGTGCTAAATGAACAACAAGTAAATTTCCTCTAAACAGGATCCTTTAAACAGGATCCAAAAACTTTTTATATTACAAGATTTTTTTTCGAGGCTGCATTACTCCCAAATTTGTACAGTGCTCTTGGGATGACCCATACTGACTCATCTGGGACAGAAGAAAGATCCACTTGGAGCCAAGAGGTAGTTTCCTCAATTTTATTTGTGAAAGTATTTGCCAGCAAGCTAAAAGAGACAGGGCAGACATCATGGAAGATTATCCTATCATGCTAACAGTTGTGCACTTCAGCTCAAGAGTAATAGTTACTCTGTGTGTGTGTGTGTGTATTTGCCTTCAAGTTGCTTGTCATGAATTTCATAGGGTTTTGCCTAGGAAATGAATACTCAGAGGTGGTTTTGACACTTCCTTCCTCTGAAATATTGCCTACAGCACCTGGCATTTGTTGCTAGTCTCCCATCCAAGTACTAATCAGGGCTAACCCTGCTTAGCTTCCAAGATCAGACAGGATCTGGTGCCTTTGCAGCATTTAGGCCATGAAATATCTACTACCACAGGGGTAGGCAACCTTTCCCCTTTAAGG